CAGGCCAGGCCTGAATCCCCTTCTAACGCAAGCGCCCTAAGGGTTTAAGAAGGCCTAGCCGCCAGGCCCATCGCCCTGTCTCTGGGTCCTCAGGTTAGATCCTCCCACAGATCATTTCCTGAGTGTTCTCCAGAAACATCCTCCTTCGTTTACATCTCCCCCTCAGAAACCCCGGGAGCCCTCAGTGAGCCAAAACAGGGCTCTTTGGCCCCTCGAGTGTGGCTCTTCCACAAAATACCGCGGCCCGGGCGAGTCTATCTTGAAGAAGTGGCGTTAGAAGAAGTTTAAGTTTAAAAGATTTGGCTCTCCAAAGAAATTTCAATCGTTGTCCTGTTGATATTTGGCTCTGCTGACCAGTGAGTTTGCCGACCACTGCACTAACTGAAGCTCGAATGCCATCTCTTCCGGGAAGCCTTCCCTGATACACACCCACACGGCCAGGGTGACTCTGGGTCTGCATCCTATCATTTTCTGCCTTGCTCAGAGGCATTCAGGAGCGTGGCCTTTTCTCCCCTAGTAGATTGAAGCTCCATGAGGCCAGGAGCCCTGCCGGTTATTTTATGAAAGGATGCGGGGCAGAAGGTCAGTGTCCACAGGGAGAGGGCCTTGTGGGGTCTCTGGGGACACAGCCTCCTCTCCTTACTGCCCACTTTGGGCAGCACGATGGGGGTGAAGAGGACAGACCCCCATGCCTCTCCAGGCCCCTCCAGCAGCCGCCTAACTGCTTTCCAGCCTCCAGCACGCCCCTCCTCTCCCCCAATTCTCCACACAGCAGCCTGGGTGACCATCTCAACATGCAAATTTGCGCCGAAACCAGTTTGGCTCAGTGGATAGAGCATCAACCTGCGGACTGAAGGATCCCGGGTTCGATTCCGGTCAAGGGCATGTACCTTGGGGGTGTGCAAGAGGCAGCTGATATATGATTCTCTCTCATCGATGTTTCTAACTCTCTATCCCTCTCTCTTCCTCTCTGTGGGAAATCAATAAAATATATTTTTTAAAAAATCTTATTTTAAAAAAAGCAAATCTGCCATGTCCCTGCCTTCACTCTGAACTCCTGAGTGGCTCTCCACTGTCCCTGGATGGAGCCCCAAATCTTTAACACACACACACACACACACACACACACACACACCCATGCACCTGCCCCGGCCACCTCCCAAGCGCTGTCCTCAGAGCCTCCAGATGAGTTAATTCTCGAATGTTTTGGCTCATCTTGCACACAGCTAGCGGCTCCTGCCTGGAATGTCCTGCCGGGTCCCATCCATTCTTTAGGCCAGGGCTTTCATGTCATGTCCTCAGGAAGCCTCTTCTGAGCCCCGGGCCTGATTCGCCTATCTGCTCCACAGCACCCTGCCCGTCTCCTTGGCAACAGTAATTGCACTCGCAATTTCCTGCTCCCTATCTGCTTGTCGCCAGGCTGTGGCAGGGAGACCTCTGGGTCTCTGTTCACACTGACCAGCCCCAAAGCCTTAGGGTGTGCCTCGTTTGGTGAGTGAATGAATGAATGAACGAATGAAGCCGTTTGATGACAGCAGGAGTGCTTACCTGGTTAACTGAAAAGAAAAGAAAAAATCGAGAGGAAATACAAAAAGCCAAAAACAGCTGCTGGTTCCTCCCCCACAACAGACAGCAACGTGTGGACTTCAGCCACGCTGGTTGTCTTGGCGATTGCCTGAACCTCTCTGCCAAACCCACCCTGCAGCCTTCTTACCCTCCTCTGACAGGGCCCCGTCTCTCCGATCCTTTCTGGAAAACAATGTCTTTATCTTTAACAAGAGCTGACAACATGCCCGTTTGCCAAAAAAAAAAAAAAAAAAATCGTAGCAAGGCGAGGAACACGTGACTAACCCCATTAACAGCCCAGACCCGCCAGCCCAGGGAAAGGTACTCCGGTGCTCTGGGGGACCCCCAGACTGCCACGGGGACCCCCATCTTCCAGTAATAACGCTTTCCCTCAAGTTCTCAACGGTCTGCATCTACATGGCATGCTAGATGGTATCCTCGCCATATCCCGAGAAGAGAACTAAGCTGCCCCACCTGGCAGGAGAGGAAGTAGGCGACACATCCAGTATTCAAATCTGAGTGCTGGACCCTGCCCCCCACCAGGCCACTTACAGCAACGAGGATGCCTACCCCCAGCCTGGCTTTAAGCTCAGTCCCTAGCTGGGAATGCGAAGGCACATTATCAAGGTGCCACAACAGCAGGCTGGGGAGCACGGATTGGGCTTCTCTCCCTGAGACCCGTCTACCTGGCAACCCTCCGGACATCCAGGAGGCCTGTGGCCTCTCGGACACTGGCTTGCTGTGTGACCCTGGGCAGGCTCCTCCACCTCTCTGTGCCTGCTGCTGGCTGGCATGAGGACAGCTGGAGACAGAAGATACAAAGTTTGTTCAGAACCCTCACCCAAGCCTGCACTGCAGCGTGGGGGGAGGGCAGAGTGAGGGGGAGGGGAAGGTTCCACTCGGGGCCTCTAAGAACAGCGCTGACTACCCGCCAAGGGGTTAGAGACCTGGGTGGGGAGCTGGGGACCGTCAGGGAGATTCAGCCGCGACAACAGGAAACAGAACACCAGCGAGTCCTGTTGGGAACCCGGGGGCCAGGGGAAACTTGGCCCCGCTGCAGGGGAGGGAGTGCTGGATTTGTTTAAAACCCGCGGAACAGGAGGCCCAAGGAATAAACACTCCGGCAGCCCGCGATCACCCCCGCCTCAGGAACGAGCACAGGGACTCCTGTTTAAGGAAAACCACAGGAAGGGGGGAAGGCCTGACGTCAGCCTCCACCCCACCCACACACGGGTCAACAACCCAGAGGGCAGCGCCAGCTCCTCAGCCAGCCTAAGGAGCCCAGCAACGCCCCTGGCCCACTCTCTCTCTCCTCTTCCCGGGCTCTCTCATGCCCAGGTGCCAGGCAAGCCCCACTCTGGCCTTCCTCTGCTCACACAGGTCTTCCTAACCTCGATATTCTCCAACTCAGATGCCACCTGCTCAGGGAAGCTTTCTCGCATCTGCCCAGCCAGGAGGCATCCCTGGCCTGGCACCGTATCGCTCCTCTCCCAAAGAGATGCCTCTTAGTCTGCCGGTCCGCGCAGATATTTATGGCCTGGCGGAGGCTTCCTCAGCGTGGTGTTTATGACCGGTTTTTCCTCCCTCGCCCAGGGCTTGGCATAGCGTATGTTGCAAGCGTTCCGTAAGCCTTGGCTGGATGACGGACAAGTGAATATACGCCGGTAAATATCCCTGCGCGCTTCTTCGCTCTACAACATGGATAAACTTTAATCTTTCTCCCAGATTAGCATCAGTCAGGCGGAACGTCTCCCCGGAAGGGAAACTGGTCTGTGTTAGAGCACCGCACTCTCACCGGGTTATCTCACCGAATCCCCACACCACCCCGTGAGATAGGACTTATCCCATTTCACAGATAAGGAGACTGATCCTCAGAGGTGAGGATGCCACTTGAAGTCTCTGTGGGGAAGTGGAGGAGCTGGAATTTGAGCCTGAATTTGTTTGATGGCTAAGTCTGGGGTCTTCTGGCCAATGGGGGTTGGGGGGGGGGGGCTCTGGAAAATGTCACCAAGGCCAGGTGACCTCTCTTTAGGGTTTTAAGGAGAAAGACGTTTTCTTGCTCTGAGCAAATAGGTTAGGTTGGACTCGGAGGCAGAGTGGGTACTAATATGACCTCCAAGTCTCACCTCCCTTTTATTGCCCCAAATTCTGAGACCTTAAGTCAAGTGCCGGCCCACGGGGAGTGAGTGAGCTCTCTGCCACCCAAACTGTCCAAGCGGCGTATCCAGCGAGAGGTTCTAGACCAAGGAGGCCGCCAGAATCCAAAATGACCCACCAGCACCTCTGGGTGCGGAGCCAAGCGTAACTTCATTACTACGGACTCTGAGGCAAGTCGTGGTGGAGGGGGAGGTAGGTATTACTGAGGCGAGGAGAGAGGAAAGGGGTGTTTGAGGGGACCCCAGCTCTGGGCAGGAGTTGGCCCTGAGGAGTCACTGGGGAATTCTTCGTGTCTACAGGGGGTCCCATCCTGCCCCCCCCTGGGCCCCCCCAGGCTGGGCAGCATTGTCACAGAGAAGCCGTGGCTGCATCCCTAGTGCCGGCACATGCCCTCCTCCGGCCCTGCACACAGGGCACAGGGCAGGACTAGGAGGGAATGAGCAGAGCCTGTCCAGGGGGAAGGAAACCAAAGAGAAGTCGCTGGCCTTGGCCCCCTTGATGGAGAGCCAGACGTCAGGCCCTAGAGAGGTGATTTAAAGGGTTTGGCTTTCCTTCCAGAGACAAGCTCCCGTCCTAAAGCAACCCCAAGAAGCCCAGCCCCGACCCAACGGGTGTCTGTCTACCCTGGGGCTTCAGAACGCCCCCCCCCACCCCGCCCTGACAGCTCCCTCCCCTGCGCCCTTCTCCTGATGCCACTGCTCACCTCCTCCACCGCGGACCCGGGACTGAAGGTGCTGGGGAGACCGGGCTGCTGGGCACAGGGTGCCCAGATGTCCCCGACGGCACCCCGCCTGTCCGCCCAGCCTCCACCTCCCCCTCCACGCCTTGGGCACAGCAGGACCGCACCCCCAGGATTCCCATCCAGCCCTCCGAACGCGCCAGCCCGTCCGCCCACGATGCCCCCAGCCCGGCCTGGGTCACGCCCCCCCCCCCCCCCCCCCGCGTCCCGGAACACTCCGATCCTACTGGACCCCGCCTGGGGATGCCCGAACCCCGCTCCGACCCAGCCTGGATACCCGGGTCCCCGAGCCCAGCCGGGTCCAGGGGCTTCCCTCGGGACACCCCAGCCCAGAACCGCTACCGAACCGACTCGGCCGGGTCCAGCCCTCCGCACTCGGCCGGGTCCAGCCGCCCAGAACCAAGTTCGACGCGGCCGCCCCGACGGAGCCGAGCGCGGCGCCGCCCGCGCGCCCCGTGCTCCCCGCCTTCCCAGCGCCCAGCCCCCGGGAGCCCGGCGTCACGGCCCGCACCGTCGAGGCCCGGCGCCGCGCACTCACCATAGCGCGCTGCGCCCCGCGGCTGCGGCTGCGGCTGCGGCTCCGCTCCCGGTCGCGCTCTGCTCCTCCGACCGCGCGGCTGGCTGCCCGGCGACTCTCGGCTCCCCGCGGGCCCGGCGAGCGGGGCTCTGGCGCCGAGTCCCGGGGGCGGGGGGCGGGCCCGGCGAGGAGCCAATAGCGGGGCGCAGGGCCCGGCCGCGAAGCCAATCACGTACGGAGGCGGCCTTCGCCCCGCCCCCGGCCCGCCCCTGGCTCCTTAACCCTGGGCGCGCTGGGCAGCAGCCGGAGCGGGGAGCGGGGAGCGGACCCCGGCGCGGGCGCGGTCTCCGGCTTCCGGGAGCCGGTCCGGGCCTCCGACACAGGCTTTGGGGAAAGGCGGGTCCCGGGAGCAGCCCGGGGTGCCCGGTGCGCGGCACCCGGAGCCTCGGCGACCTTTGTCTCCTGCACCGGAGCGTGACCAGGGCGCTGCAGCTGCGTGTGTGTGTGTGTGTGTGTGTGTGTGTGTGTGTGTGGAGAGAGAGAGAGAGAGAGAGAGAGAGAGAGAGAGAGAGAGAGAGAGAGAGAGAGAGAGAGAGAGAGAGAGAGAGAGATCGCAAAAGCAGGGAGGGATGGATCCCGTGTGCCTGAGTGTTTATATGTGACGAAAAGACCAATGTACTATATATGGGGTTTGTTACTGAGTGCTTCTGTGTGTGTGTGTGTGTGTGTGTGTGTGTGTGTGTGTGTGAGAGAGAGAGAGAGAGAGAGAGAGAGAGAGAGAGAGAGAGAGAGAGAGCGCGAGAGCGCGAGCAGTGGGGGAGGGAAGAAGAGAGAAGGGCCACGGGCTCTCTGTGCCTGTGTGTTTGCATGTCCAGGGGAGAAACTCTCTACAGGTGTGTCTGTAAGTACGCTGAGTGCAGGAGGAAGGCGCAGAAAAGAATGTGTGTGGATGTAGTATTTGCATGATGTGTGACCTGCATATTTGGGGCCCACTATGCATGCATGTTGTGTGTTAGGAAGAGACTCTGTGTCCCTGATGTGAACAGGTAGAGACCAAGTCCCTGCGGCCGTGTGGTGTCCTGTGTGCACGCGCAGGTGTGCACACGTGAGGGGCGGCTGTGATTCGGTTCACTGTGCATGCAGCCCAGTGTGCAAGGAAGAGAGACACAGACATCGTGTGTAGTGAAGGCATGTGTTTTCTTTGTGTGACTCTGCAGTCATCTATATTTGTGTTACGTTAAGAAAGAGAAACTAGCCAAAACCGGTTTGGCTCAGTGGCTAGAAAGTTGGCGGATTCAAGGGTACCGGGTTCGATCCTGGTCAAGGGCATGTACCTTGGTTGTGGGCACATCCCCAGCTGATAGATGTTTCTCTCTCATCGATGTTTCTAACTCTCTCTCCCTCTCCCTTCCTCTCTGTAAAAAATCAATAATATATATATATATATATATATATATATATATATATATATATATATTTTTTTTTTTTTTTTTTTTTTTTTTTTAAAGAAAAGAAAGAGAAACTAGCCTGGCCAGTAAGGCTTGGTTGGTTGAGGGTCACCCCATGCATTAGGAGGTTGCCGGTTGATTCCCAGTCAGGGCACATGTCTGGGTTGTGTGCAGGAGGCAACTGATCGGTGATGTTTCTCTCTCATTGATACATTTTTTTTTTCTCTCTTTCTCTCTCTCTCTCTAAAAATCAATAAAAAACATTTAAAAAAGAAAGTGAAACTAATGTGCAATAAATGATTGTTCAGGAGAGACGGAGACATCTTGGGAGGGGTGGGGTTTGGGCCTTGAAGGATGTATAGGAGTTCGTGAGGCCAGAGGGAAAGGATTGGAATCTTGCCCACCAGCCATGGGGGAAGGGGAAGTGTAAGAGGGAGTGGAATTGGCTGGGGACAGAGAAGGATTCTAGGACAAAGGGCACCCCCTGCCAGGAAGGAGGTGGGGGATAGGAGCAGCTGGCCCAGCTGCTTCTCAGAGCTGACTTAGGGTGACTGGGCATGCAGAAGAGAGGTCTAGGCCCGCTGTGCCAGGTGCCAAAGGGGACCACGTGCTCCTGGGCAGTGTGTGTGGCAACCTGAAGAGCAAGGAGGGATTCTGTGGACATTACTCTTCCCCTCCATTCAGCAGCGCTCTGGATTCTTCAGTGTGAAGAGACACAGGGAGGAGGGTCACCCATAAATCCGCAAAGTGCGTTGTGTGCAAAACAGGGAAGCGTGGTGGAGAATGGAGAATTGGGCCATGCCCTGAAGGTAACAGATCTTCTCTGGCTGACACTCCAGCTGCCCAGACCAGGGCTGGTTTCAGATTCCTGACTGTTCCTCAAGTATCTTCCTGAGAGAACCCCAGCTTGACACCTGGGGGGACGTTCTGAGAGCCGGGAAAACTGGGAGATGGAGCCCCATCATTCTGCTCTCCATTTGCTAACAACAGGGTGGGAGATCCCCATCTCCAATCTGAGCCTCGGTTTTCTCCTCTGTAAAATGGGATTTGTAATGCCTGCCCACCTCCCTGTGCTGACGTGAAGATGTGAGTTACTATACGTGTGGGCCCTTGGTAAGCTTCAAAGCACTGGAAAACATTAAGCATCCAGCCGTTTATATAAAGTTCAAAAACAAGCAAAACTACGTTATGCTATCGGAAGTCAGGCTGGTGCTACCTCTGTGGAGGGAATGACTTGAAAGGGGGCACCGGGGGCACTTCTGGTCCTAACAGGCTTGTTTGGGGACGGAGGGACTGGGCACAGGAGTGTGCTTAGTCTGTGAAGTCTCCTTAGAGCCTGGGTGTGTTTTCCTCTTACATGTTCCCCAAAGAAAAGCCACACATCCTACCCACATTTATTCACTCACACACGGGGCATTCTGGAACCCTCCAACAGCAAGGTTGGAACTGGGCTGAGTACTGGGGGTATAGCAGTGAACAAGATGTGAGCCAGGCCCCGCTGGTGTGGCTCAGAGATTGAGTTTCAGCTCATGAACCAAGAGATCACTGGTTCAGTTCCTGGTCATGGCACATGCCAGGCTGTGGGCTCGATCCCTGGTAGGGAGCAGGCAGCAGGCAGCAGATCTATGGATGATGTTTCTTTCTCATCCATGCTTCTATCTCTATTCCTCTCCCTTCCTCTCTCTCGAAAACTAAATAAAAACATATATATATATATATATATATATATATATATATATATATATATATATAAATATATATAATATATATATATATATTTTTTTTTAAGATGTGATCCAGGCTCTATGAAGAAAACAGGAGAGAGGTGTGGCTTTCTTCCTTCTGAAAGACACATGGGAGATTAAAAATGGTGGCAGAGTAAGTAGATGCTATCAATAGATGGACATGCTTCCAGGAACAAACTGGAATCACAACTAAAATACAGAAAAACTTCCTGAATAATCAAGGAAGACTTGCAGGAAAGAATCCTGATACTAGCGGATGGAAAGTGGAGACCACATAGACTGGTAGGAGGGGCAGAGGTGCAAAAGGACTGGCTGGGCGCCCACAGACAGCAGCTGAAGTCCTAGAAAGATATCTCATCTGCATGAGGGTACCACTGAGAACTCTGGGATCTAATCCCCAAGCTGGGCCCTAACCCCCAAGCTGCCCCCCCCACCCCCCAGCAGAGAGCACCACAACTGAGAAGGGTACCCACATAACATTTGGCTGTGAAAAACAGCAGGATGCTGTCTATCAGGAAGTGAAGGGCTGAAAACTCAAGCACCTCTTAAAGGGCCAATGCACAAAATTCCCTGTGGAGCCACTCACCTTGTGCTCTGGCAGAGGGAGGGTGGAGTGGTCTGGAGCTGTGTGAGGCGTTAGAGCTCAGAAGGTAGACATTCCCAGTTTCCTGGGCTGAGTCATTCCCTCATGCAGCAGAGGACATTTTTCCCACACAGACATCTGGAAGATAGTGGACCCAACCTATTGGAAAACTCCTTGCTTTGAGGCCACTTATGAGATTAAAAATAACAATTAGCCTCCAGGCAAAAGCAATTACCCCGCCACATTGAGGAAAAACTCTCCCCACACCCGAGGACAGTTGCCTGGGGGCTGTTCAAGTAGGAATCCTATCAGTCTATAGGCTGAGGTGGTCCCTGGAGGATTTGAGTCTTTGCCTGGTCTAATTAGTCAGAAACAGCATTTGACACTGTCCTACACTGGAGATTGAGAGGTGTAGAGGATATACCTAATACATAGTCACAAACCCAAAATGAGGAGATAAAGAAACAATCCCCAAATGAAAGAAAAAGAGGGTTCTCCAGAAGAAAAGGTAAATGAAGCAGAAGATTTATCTGAAATCTGATTACTGAGTTCAGAGTAATGATGGTAAAGATGCTCAACCACATGAAAAAAGATATAGTAATTATGAAAAAAGAACAGTCAGATATAAAGAGTGACATAATACAAATAAAGAACACCTTGGAAGGAATACACAGCAGATTAGGGGAAGCTGAGGATCAAATCAGCGAATTAGAGGACAGAGTTGAAAAAAATCCCTCAATCAGAGAACCAAAATGAAAGAGACATATTGTCAGTGGGGGAGCCACTCCCTGGAGTTGGCACCAGCACTAGAACTGAGGCCTCCCGATAACAGGCTGAGTCTTTTCCATCCCACCATGCTGCCCCAGCAAAAGCCATCCCTGGCCTTAATGCTCTCCAGGGGAAAACAAGTGAGAAGATTGGCTGCCAACTCTGACCCAACCTCCAACTCCTTAGGGATCCTCATGACTTGCCTCCTCCAAACAGCCTTCTGGGAATAATTCTATGTAGTAGGTCCTGTGATTCTCACCCCACCCCCTATTGCAAGTGAGAAAAATGAGTGTTCAGAGAGGGAAAGTGACTTCCCGAAGGAGGCACCGTTCATCTGAGGGGATTCACTCCTGGGATCATGCTACTTCCTGTTGGCATTGGTGGACTCTGCTCTCTGGTGAAGCATGGTGGTTGTGTGGCAGGAGAACATGTTTCCCTTGTCAGATTCCTAAAGACTGGGTGGTGAGGGGTGCTTCTTCCAAATTCTCAGTCTCATGTGGGGTAGGGGGCTTGGAGAGATTGGAAATTGCTTAGTTGGAGCATGTGGGCTCAAACTGGCAGAAAATGCAACTTAAACTGGGAAATAAGGGGGTAGAGCTAGCTTTAGGCCTGGCTCC